TAATGGTCTGAAACTGCTTTTTTTTCTCTAGATTTCACTACAATCTATATCAATTAATAATAGAAAAATTGGCAGAAATTAAAATGATGAAATTTATGATCCCTATCCTCATGCAGACCTCTTACCCCTACCGCACTGAGTACATTTTTGAGAAAGGCGAAGAACGGAGATGGTAGCAGGAATTGAAAGACTATATTGAAATTTGAGATGCAAAAATATAAAAACCCCTAACTAGGGCAGAAATTTCAGGAATGATGAAATTTTACGATCCTTACCTCATACAGACCTCTTACCGCTACCGTAATGAGTACATTTTTATCAGAAAGGTGGAAAACAGAGAAAGTAGAGGAAATCAAAAGACTAAGTATGAAATTTGAGATTAAGATAAAAATCTAAAAACCCCTACCTAGTTCCTGAAGTAGGTGGCGGTGCTGTAGGACGAGGTGTTGGCAAATGTAACGTATCCTCCAGTCGCGCACTACTTGTAGCTGGTCGTGTGAGCTTCCCTAAAAAAATATTTTTTTATCATTAGTTAAAAAGTCGGCAGATAGATCAATGAAGGGAAGTAGCAATGAGGAGAGGTGTGGACCTTATTGTTTTTAAAAATAGAACGGGATCCCATTTCTCAGCCGTATGAATCTCAGCAAACACTATTTTTTCTTGAACAACAGGGGAACAGGCAATAAGCGGAGAAAATAACAAAAAAAAGTCCGCAGTAAGCTACATGCTCGATATAATCAAAATACTGATGTAAAAAAATTTCGAAAAAAAACATGGGAAAAATGGAGATAGTGGTATGATAAAAGAGTGAAAAGAGTGGTAAATCACGCAAAGATATAGATAAAGTTCTGATAATTCACTTACCTAGATCTATATCCAAATCGATCTTCTTTATGCTACTATGCAAATCGAACAGATTGCTAGCACTTTTTGATTGCACTGGTGGTCGGCCACTAGGCGTGGTAGTTTTCGGTGCCAGAGTAGAAGATGTGGCTGCTGGAATCCAAGAATTATTCTCCATCGACTAAAATACGCCCAGCCCAGAATTAAAAAGACAAAGGCCATTTTTGAAAAAAACAAAGGAAACAAATTTCTGCAATTTTCGCCTCCGGCATAAAAGGTATCAAGATAAGACAAACGTTTTGGAGGCTTTGGCACGAGAGCAACAGCAGTGGGTTGCGGATCTTGAGGTATATCTGCAAAACTCAAGATCTTGAGCATAAATTAGTACATAATAGTAGTACGATATAAGAAAGCAACGATACAGTTCGATTAGAAAAATCTAGAGAAAAATGACTGACTTGAAGTGCTTGCAGCATGTTCTAGCGCAGCAGCTCCAGATTTGCCAGCTACCACCTGAAAAAGCCTCGCAATGGAACTGTCATATGGAGTAAAAAAGAAATGAAAAAAAATTGTAAAGTAAGAAGGTACCGTCAAAAAGGTAACTTCAAAATCGCTTCCACAAAAAAAAAACACAAGTGATGAAATGAACAGCAAAAATTATTTTTTAAATTTCTGTCATCGGCCTAATTTGATATTCAGAAAGATCATAAGAACATTGAAAATGTGGGAAGTTATAACTTTATGTGTGCGAAAATGTCATGCACACACCTTCATCCTTTCCTTCTTTCTCGTGAACGGATCATCTTGCATTTCGATATCTATTTCGACCTTATTACTCAAGAATTGTTCCTTCATCTTGTTACGATTTCGTTGATTTATCCAGTTGATCGCCGATATATCCGCACATCGTTTTTTCTCCTGCAAGAAATATTTCCTTGAAAGTAACGACTCAAGCCGAGGTAACCTTTTGGAAAAAAATGCCATTCCGTCAAGCTCAGTTGTGCAATAAATTTACCACAAAAATTTTTTTTTCGA